ATATAAAAATTATAAAGAATATGGAGTTTATGATGTTTTTAGAGTTTATAAAGATTATAAAAATTATAAAAATTATGGTAATTATGAAAATTATGGAAATTTTCAATTGTAACAGCGTGGTGATCCTGAAGTATACCAACTATAATGAGATTGAGTAACCATAAAAATACCATCATCAGACGTTGATTGAACATCTATATTACGATTATACCTACCAGGAGCCTGATCATAACAGTGTATGAAAATATTTCAAAATAGCAATAGTAACTATATTCACAGCAATTTACTTTAAATATTATAACTAAATGGTGTTTATAATAATAGATAATGTTTTTTGACAAGATAAAAATGACGAAGATACTAAACTAATAACAAAACTAAACTAAAAGGTAAACTTAACCAAAAATTACTTATAATTTCAAAAATAAATCGATTAACATGTCAAACTCGATATTAAACCAAAAGAAACTCAAAACCAAAACTTAAGAACTTAAATCAAACTGAATGAACTTGATTTTTATTAATTATCAGTACTTGTATTTATACATATTTTCATGTTACAGTGGCACAGTGTGGCATAGTAATATGCAGTATGACGCAGCATGATGCAGTTATAATGCAGCATGTGGCACAATAGATCTATACTAATACTATAAAATTATTGGTTCTCTTCTAAATTACATGAAATTTAACTGTATCATAATTAATAATCTTGTTCTACATCTAAATACCAATAGCAAAAGTAGCAAAATAGAAAATAAAGGTTAAACTAATATAGATAATGATGAAATTTGCCAAGAAAATAGCATGATTAATATATTCAAATAAAGATAACAATAAAATAAATATAAAAAGATAGGTAATATGAGAAAGAAAAAGAAGAAAATAGAAAGAGATAGAAGGAAGTAGAATATTATCAAACCAATTACATAGTCTAAATATCATTATGATTAATTTTGATCATTACTGCATCTTTTGTTCACGTATTTTTTATATGAAATTATAATTGATATTGAATCGGTGACAATATATATTAATTATTATTATTATAAATAAATTAATTAATAACTTGTAAAAAAAATTATTTCTAAAATTAATAATTTTTATAGAATTATTAAAATTATTTGAAATTAGTTAATAATTCTATTTTAATAATATTAAATTTCTTTTTCTTATTTTATTTTGAAATTCTTTTTTATAATAATATTTTTTAGCTTAATTATAAATATTAAAACTTGAAAAATAATAATATAATAAAACTTATATACAAGTAACTTTGAATTATATTGAGCTTATCAAAATAGTATTATTAAAATTAAATATTTTTATTATTAATTAATTATTGAAATTTTGATAATTTGATATTTTAATATTTTTGATATTTTGTTTATTGTTATTTTTTACTTGTTAAAAATATAATGTTTTTTATTTATAAAAAAATAAAATAAAAAATCTTTATTATTTTATATTATTAATTATATTATCATTATAGCTTTGAAATAGTTGATATTAATATAAAAAATCAATATAACAAAATCAAAACATTATTTTTACTTTATAATATCTCTCTTTTTTTAAAACTTTATCTTTTTTATATTTTTATTCTTTAAATTATAATAATTTCAATAAAATTAGTATAAAACTTGAACACTCTTTTTTTAATATTATTTTGTTTTTTTATTTAATTTTCTTTTTTAATGCTTTAAATTTATAAGCTAATTTACCAATTAATAAATAAATTTGTAATAATAATATTAAAATAATATAATAATATCAAAATAATTAGAAAAAAATTATAATTTTAATATTATAATAAATCAAATTTTATTATTTCAAAATATTCTTTATTTTGTTAGTAAATATTAAGTTTTGAATTTACAGCTTTTTTTATTTCTTCTTAAAACTTGTTATCATGCTGAAAAATTATAATTTTTATAATATTGAGTTAGTTTAAGATCAAAAACCAATACCAATTGCTTAACAAGAATTTGTATAAACCAATCAAGACAAAATCAATTATAATTATATTTGAGTATTTACCAGTAACTTTGTGATTCAAACCAGAAATATTATTAATAAATATGCTAAATGAACAAATAATTTCCAGTCTTTTTTATTATATCAATTTATTTACAAATAGTTTTACAACCTGGAAAAATTATTATTACAACAAAACTGATATGCTTTTTTTGCACAATATCGATAGATTTGTGTAAAGATCCAGAAAATATTTTTTGTTATCAGAATTAGTGAATGCATGTTCGCATATTATTTTATCATGTTTATAATTTTCCTGATCTTATTATCTGGACACAAGTTTCCAGCATCACTATTTGAAATCCATAATGATTTGATAAAATCAAACTGTTGGTAAGCCTCTATTACCTTTTCTTTCAAGTAACCAGATATCTTTAAATCTTGTCTTTTAGATATTGGTTGATTGCATGTTCCAAATGCCAGTAGCAAAGTTGCAGATTTGTTATTCCTGACCAAGCTTCATCTATGGCTGATATTTCTCCTGCATTCTTGTTCATATATCATGTTGATCCTGTTCTTAGAATCATGATATGCTTCTGTTGTGCCACTGCATGTCAAAAGATATAGATATGATACTGACATTCCGTATCTACCGCAGTTAGTGTTACAACAAAGAGTTCAAAACACTCTTAATGTGAAATCCACAATAATCTCTTTCAATTTTGTGATGCCAATGCGATTGAGTAGTGATATGATGTAAAAATGACACGACAACTGTTGCAACATGATGACAAATAACGCATCACCTAGTTACAACTAGTTGCGGCTTATAAAATTTTGGAGTTGCAACATGTTGCAATGGGTGACAAATAAGCATCACATACTTGCTGCACCATCTCTAGTGTGGTGGATCCAAGAACCCCATGAAGTTATTCTTCAGATAGTAGAGAATTTTGAAGCTTGTTGTTTTTCAAGATATTCCTTTGCTGACAAAAGCTGATTCGTGGGATTAAACATATATGTTTGCTTGCTAGACTGTCATTGAAGACGTCTATATAATTCTGAGTTCTGTATGTGATACTCAACATTGTTCTGGATCCACTGTCTTGTTGCTACTGGAAATTCGATCCTTCTGTACTGTGGATGTTCATGTGCCTGGCGATGACTACCTTGAACAAGAACGCGATGTTATTGGGGATCAATGATAAATATAATACCTCCCATACTGGCGTACCGATTTATTGGAGCACGGGTCAATTTTCAGATCTTAGCCACTGCCTGTTCTCTCATTGCGCGTATCTAAGATATGCTGTAGACAACCTGTAAACTTCTTTCTGGTGTTAAGATTTAGTTGCCACACCTCCCAGTAATAACCAGACCCAAATTCGAGCAGTAAAAGAGTTGATGAAAATTCTTCTTGATTGTCTCAAGATCGTGTGTATCTAGATGGAATTCTGGGAAGACGCTCTCAACAATTATTGAATCCAGCTCGATTTCAAACGCTAACTTTGCTAGCTCGTTTGAATCTTGAAACTGTTCTCTTGAACCTCATCCAAATTATATAAAAATCCATTGGCATCATCATTATATTCATCAACATCATTGTTATATTCATCGACCTCATCGTTAGATTGGTCATTCTGTCTGTTATTGCTATTTTCGTACAGAGAATCTGGAGAGCTCTACAAGGAAGTTATCGTCTAGCTCAAGATCCGTGAGATGAGAAAAGTTAGTTTGACTGGGACTAATATTTACCTGAGAAAGCGCAGTGCTGATACTTGGCATTGGTGCATTTAAACCGGCTTCAAGTTTGTTTACTTTCTGGAGATCAGTTATGTTCCTTTTCGTGTGTTTCCACGTCTTTCATAACATTGATTGCAGGTTAAATACTCGTACTGCGGATTGTTACCACGAGAACGGTAGAAATCCACTTTCTCTTTGTGCCAAAACAGCAAGAATGTTTTCTTATCGGAATTCGTGCAAGAGATTTCTATAAAAAACATATTATCTAGACTTTTGTGCTTATTCGATATCATTAAACTAACTTCTATCTTAGATTATTAGCATAAGAAGTTGCGGTTCAATTAATACCTTCATTCGAATTGTTCCTACTCATTTTGGGCTTGTATCGCATATTCGATAGTGTATTGTGAAATTAACAAAGTGCAGAGATTTAGACTATCAAACGAAACGCGTATGAAAAATTCGAAAAACTCGCGTAGTGCATAAATATAATCAAAATGAAATAGAGGTTTTTATAATTTTAGATCGGAGATTTGTTCGGATCGGAAGTTGGTTCGGAATTTTACTATTTATGGTGACACTAATTCTTTAAGTTCGACGTAACATAACAAGTTTTGACACAATCTAAAAGAGCCAAACAATACAATCATTAAAAAGAAGCTTTATACAACTTTTCACCTTCATACTTTTGAGCTTTCTAACAAAAACTAACAAAATATGACTGAAGCCTTTGACGAATTCCCCATTTCGGAACTTGCTGAAGAGGAAGATCCAGTTGAAAACGACGACGAAGACGAAGAAGAGGAGACCGATGAGGAAGCAGCTAAGGAGGTTTGCTTATTGCTTTTTTGAGTCTCGTTATAGATCGTCTCAATATACCAGTTTAATAAACATCCATACTTTATTATTGTTAATAACGTCGGATAGATTGCTAAAGACTTTATAGTAGACGATGAAGAGGAGGAGGAGGAAGAGGAGGAAATAGAACCAGTTAAGCGTCACAAAAAGAAATCTAAAAGAAAACGAAGTTCAATAGAGACAGAGAGTAATTTTACTTTTTTCATTGCCTAAACTGTAACAACAAAATTTTCGTACTATCTAAATAAGTTGTTTTGTTACTTGGATATTAGGCGACTCGCTCGACGACGACGATCTAGCTCTCGTTCAAGAAAATACAGGTTTAGAAATTCAAAGAAGCGAGGTAAGAGTAGAAGTTATACATCCTCGGATTTTTAATTCTCTCGTTAGTGAATCATATTTGACTTGATTCTCCTTTTTTTCATAATAATTAAAGAAAAAATTCAAACGTATAAAACGTGGTGGTGGCCATTTTGACGAAGAGAACGACAGAAACCGGCATGATTTAAACCGTATCTTTGATGACGAAGATATGATCGACGAGTCATTAGCTGACGACATTGATGAGTTCGTGGTTGATGATTATGAGGAAGAAGGTGAATTGATGGAGGAAGAGCGGGAAGCTCAAATGCTGCGGTCCGGAAAAGGCATTAAGGCGCGAATTGATTCGAATCAAGAGTGCGTGTGTAATTCATTTTACTTTTCCTCTTGTCGTGGTAATATTATTTATATTAATTTACTGCAACGATTTTTATGATTAAAAGAAAAATACGATTGTGGGAAGAGTTCTTTGGGGTTGATGGTGAACAATACGATTGGGCTTATAATTTGGTATTTATGTTCCTCCTCCTTTTCGATATTTTGTCATGAATTTAAAGCTTGAATCATTAAATTTTCTCTATTCGTTTCATTTGAAAATCCAGGCAAAAATGAAATCTGAACCAATACCAGTGACCGATTTAAAACAAGTAAGGATGTTAAGAATTTCTAAGAGAGAAAGAAAATTATATTATTTATTCCGTAATTCATATTTTGTCTTATTTGTATTACTAGGTCTATGAGCCGGCTGTACTTGAAGAGCGTATGCTCACTGAAAAAGATGAAGTTATCCGAACTACAGATTCCCCTGAGCGGATGCAGGTATTATAACTTGCTTATCCATGCTTTCAAAATCAAATATTTATTACTAATATATTATAATTTCTATTGATTCATCGTGCTATTTCCCTAGCTTCGGGAAGGTATCGAGAACTCCTTAAGAGCCTTAACAGATGAGGAAATCGAGGAAGAAACGAACTTCATCTTAAAGACTGCAAATTTCCAATCCTTTGTAAACTCACACTCTTCTGTGAGATTTCAAGCTCTTGTCGACGCAACAACCAAAGTACTAAAACACCTTTCTCAAATGTTTATGGAAGTGCCGTACATCTACTACCAACGTAGAGATGATATTGCTACTATAAACCTGAAAAATACGGGAATGCCACCTGTTGATATTCTCACGCTAGACGACTTATGGACAATTTATGACCTCGATATCAAGTATCGAGCGTTTTTGGAAGGTCGCGAAAAACTGCAGGCCTTTGTTCAAAAGATGGATATTCATAGCGATTACACTGATAGGTTGTTGTCTGAGGCTGAGTCTATTGAAGAGCTAAATGATATCAGAGAATACTTGAATCTTGTTCAGTACACGAAAATATCGTCTACCCTTGAAAAGAACAACAAAAAACGCCGTATGCCAGAATATCAGCGCCTTAAACAATATAATTTTCATGCCCTTGCTGAGGTATGTAATGTAGCTTGAGATTTAGATCAATTTTCTTAAAGAATTTTATAATGCTATCTTTAAACTTTCTTTCTTTGAATATAGAAATTCGGTATAGATAGACAAGCAGTCTGCAAGACCTTTTCTTTGACTGATAAACTATATTATCCGAATGACCAGTCATATGATGTGAATTTGACGGTTGAAGAGTTTCTAAGAGCTTTTAATATACAAGTTAATCTAGAAACTATTGATCAACAAAGAACTCGTGTACTTGAGGGTAAGAAATAGTTAATCATCAACTTCTTATCTTTGCGGTTGTTTTTTGCATTATATTGATTAACCGCTCCTGATATTCTTGCAGATGCAAAACGTATCGTTGCATATGAAATCGCGTTTGATCCTCATGTCAGAAAAGTTGCACGTAAATGGATACTCAAAAAAGGAATCATTCAAGTCAAGCCAACTCCGAGAGGCAATAAAAGGATTACTCCAGATCATGAGTACTATGCATGTTACAATAATAATAATTATTCTTCTATTATAAAATTCATTATAATCTATTAAATTCTAACTGTATTTGTTACATTTAGACGTTCAAATTCCTTAATAAGCCAATTCATAAATTCATTGAGCAAAAGAGTGGCCAATTCCTCCAAATCCTTCAGTCGGAAAAAGAAGGTCTCACTAAAGTTTCAATTTCTTATGAAGAGTCTGACATCAAGGACAAAAAAGGAATTGATCCAACAGAAGATCTATTTAATGCACTATGTCAAAAATTGAGTAGTGATAATATGAGTGCTATCGCTGATGATTGGAACTACCATCGGAAAGACATCGCGCGAATTATTTTTGAGGAGTTCTTGCTCAAATTTTGTGAAGTGTTTTTACGATCTAAATTGCAAAGTGAAGCTGAGGATTGGGTTGCTGCTCAATGCACGAAATCTTTGGAAAAGGTGCTTGTATTTTTATTATTACTTTTACTTTAATTCTTAATTAATAGTTTTAGTTTTTTTTTCTATTTTTGACATGTTTATTTATATTATCCATATCAATAGAGAATTAATGTGCTTCCGTTTCGACCCGAAACTATGGACCATGATGAAAACGTTCCTCGTGTGCTAGCTCTTTCGTTTGGATTCGGTAACAGAGATGATCTAATTGAGGGTGTTCTCGTAGACAATAATTGTCTAGTAGAGGAAGTATTCAAATTCAATCAGAATTTTAAAGACAACCATTCAGAGCGAGAAGCTTTCGCCCAATTACTCGAGAGCAAAAATCATCCAGACGTGATTGCCATCTCGGGATATAGCTCAAATACGCGACGCCTACTAGAACAAGTCAAAGAACTTGTGAAATACTGTCGAAAGGATGATGAGATATACGTGACGGTTGCCAATGACGAAGTCGCGGTCATTGCTAGAGGGTCTAGATACTATGTACATGAGTCTGCGATTAAAGGATACTCGCCGTTGCAGGCATATTGCGTGTCCTTGGCAAGGCGTTTGCAAAGTCCTATTCATGAATATATTGCGCTTGAGAGTAATCTACCAATGATAAGACACCATCCTTTAAAGGATTTGGTAAGTATTTTTCTGGTAATTTGATATTTTCTTTTTGATAACAGATCTATTGATTGAATCAATATAATTTAATAGGTCCCTAAAGAGAAATTGAATCGTGCTTTAGAGCGGGCATTTATAAACGTCGTAAACATGAATGGTGTTGATATTCTTGAAGCAGTCAACGATTCATACAAAGCACAAACATTACAATATGTTTGTGGATTGGGTCCACGCAAAGCGCAAGATATATTGAATCAAATGCGTGAACGTTATTATAAAGAAGTATACTTGAAAAAATTTTTTGGTCTTTACTTCGCATTTATTGTTGTATATTTAATATATAAAATAAAAATATTTTAGGACACCGAGATACGTACAAGACATGAACTATCCCATTTAATGACAGAAAATGTATACAGAAATTGTGCAAGCTTCATAAGGCTCGGCGAGGAATCATCAAATCCTTTGGATCGAACACGTATCCATCCCAGCGATTACGATCTATCTGTCAAAATGGCGGCAGACGCGTTAGACATGGAACATGAGCAGTTCATTGAAGGAGATAAAGATAAATCGGCGATTATCGAAGATGTGATAAAGCATCCTAAAAAACTCAATATTCTAAACCTCGAAATGTTCGCTGAAGTACTAAAAACAATGCTTTATGGTACATCTCGTAAGATCGCTCTATACAATATCCAGCATGAACTTTCAAAACCATACTCTGATAAACGACACAAGTTTCCCGAATTATCGCCTGATGAACAATTCGACTTTTTAATGAAAGATGAAACTCTTGCCCCCAATATGATTGTTGCAGTGGAGATTTACCGCGTAGAGGATAATTACGCCAAAGGGCAACTTACACAATCGGGGCTTGATGGGTACATCAACATCAAAAATATATCTGATGAGAATATTCACAAAGCCAGTCAAGTTTTGTCGAAAGGACAAGTGATCGACTGCGCAATATTGAGAATAGATAAAACAAAATTCTCTTGTGAATTGTCGTGTCGTAAATCGGTCATAAAGAAATACACGGAAATTCCAGTAGTTGAAAAGGATCCTTTCTATGACAGAGATGCTGAAATTAGATTCTCGTTAGATAAAACGAATGGTAAATATAATCAATTATTCTCTTTAATTATTTACTAGTCTTTCTATATTAATAAACATTAATTTTTCTATCTTAGACATATCTCGCAAACTTATAATGCCCGTTCTTCCAAAAAGCATCGACCACTACTTGTATAAAAGGATGACATACAAGGAAGCAGAAGAGTTCTTGGCATCTAAAAAAGTTGGAGATTTAGTCATTCGTCCGTCGAGAACTAAACGAAATGAAGGGCTGGCAATCACTTGGAAGATAGCGCCCGATATTTATCAGCACATTGGTTGATAATATTTTATTATTTCTGATGAAAATATCCTTGTAAGCAATAAATTAACTTCTTATTTATAATAATTAGAAATTGATGAGACCGTCACCGAAAAAAATACAAAGAAACTTAAAGTGGGTTCTTATGAATATGATGACATTGATGAATTAATTGTAACGCATATTGAAGCATCTTCGAGGAAAGTCGAAGAATTGTGTTCCCACCCAAAGTATCGGCACTCTGCAGATGAGCTTGGTATTTATTGAATATTCTTTGATTTTATATTGAATTATGGTATATTAATGTTTCCTATAACTCGATTTAGCATCGTACATTGAAACATCTATAACAGCGAATCCAAGACAATGTGCCTATGGCTTTTACTTGGATCGAAAAAATCCGGGTAATTTTTATCTTGGATATAAGTTATCTGCCGACTGGACGAAGTCTCATTGGGTAAGAATAAATATATAATATATTTTTAACCATTTTTCAAATAATGATAAATGTATATGTTTTAATAGGTTGGCAGTATAAGACCGGATCGTTTTATTCTAAACAACGAAACATACAGTGATATCCCGAAAATGATTTCAGGATTTAAGAAATCCATGTCAATGAAAATGAAGAGTCGGATTTCCGGCGGTCGCTGAATCAAACCACAATAATTGTGGCAGATTAAAACAAAATCAGATTAATAATGAAATCTCGTGATCTGATTTCATGCAATTATATTATTAATGTTAATGTATTATATCGAATTTGAGTAAATTCTGCGCTGAACTATGATCGAAATTTAGCAAACTCTGTGTTATTCTGCGATTACATGATAGCCCGGCGGATTTTTGATGATCAATATGTTTGTTAGTGATGGTATACATGAATACTCACAACCAAAGAGTTTTACGCATCAATTAAGTCCGGAGAATTGGCTACGGTCTTTTTAAGATACTGGTGGATAGAATCGAAGTTATTTCAGATGGAAAACCAGTTACATGTAATTCGTTTTTGGCTAGACGTAAAAAATCATATTTATTTCGTAAAAAACTTAAATGAAAAGTAATATCCTTAAAAAAAAATAAAAAAATCTCTTAAATACCATTAAAATACATAAAAGAGAATTATATAAGAAAAACTATATAAATTTAATCTAAAGCAATATCAGTCACACGATTTGTCACGCAGATCTGTGGAGTAAATTTTCTTCTATATAATTTGAGAGATCGACATCTCATTATTTATATGTAAGTAGCAGCCTTCTTTATTCGTTTTTTTAAAGGTTCCTAAACAGAAACTGTACTCATGCGATGCTATGCTACAGTTCAGTAAGACGAGTGCTTTCTTATGTGCAAGTTTGAAAGGGGATAAAAAATAAAGCTGAGAATAATCTCGTCTGCAAAGGTTGTTCGTCACGTTATAGTGTATAATAATGGCAACACTATAGAGCTTCCCATTTCACCAATTTGGAAAGGTTTTTGGAGCAGTTAGTGTAGTTATGAACTACTGATGTAATTACAAACCACCAGAAATGGTTACGGACTATATATAAAGACGAGTTGCAAGTTATCGGGAGTGGTTATGAGGCTTCGGGTTGGGTGGGTTAGTAATAGGATATCAAAATATATATATTCAATAATATTCTAACAAGTGCTCTCAATTTTGAGCTTGTTCATTGTTGAAAAATATTGTCAGATCAATGGATCATCTCGTTTGAATTCTTGTAATTCTAAAAGTTCAAGTCATTTGAAGATGCAGATATCAGGAATCAGGCGTCACTCTCGCATGTCACACATCCACTTGGTCTTTCACTTTTGCTTGACCCCTATTCTCGCTCTTGCCTATACTCGCCCCCTCACTTTTCATTAGGTTTATTGGTAAGTGATGTAGTATTAACGAAAAACCAATTATTAATGGATTTGATAATGGTGAAAACTGATTATTTATTTGAAGATGACGAATAAGAAGGATAATAATCTAGCTATCGATTAGGTTATACATATATATAGTTACAAAGCATTTGTAAATATAATTGTAAAGAATGATGATGAGAATAGTAATGATGATTGATAATAATAAATTTTAATGTGTATTTGTTAAAGTATTAAACATAAAATAAAGAATCTTTTCTTGATAGAATTATATACATTGTTCTCACCTAATAATAATAGTATATGTATAAATATGTATTGAAATTCAAAAAGGAAATTGCAATAATAATTGTTAATCAAATACTATTATTGCAATACACATCTATAAGTATACACTGTAAGCCAAAGTGCTATAACATTAGTTTTATTCAAATTGTTATATTAAATAAATAAAAAATAAATCAAAAATCAAAAAATTATGAAATTCTTACCTGAAGCTTCGCTTGATCATGAAGAGAAGATTTACAATGACTTTAATCAAGAATTCAGCATTGATGTTGAACAAACGATGATGTATAATAAAGAAGTTCTCACATTTGACTGTCATTCATTTAAGAGAGCATGAGAAATAATCATCAGATATACTGAGGAAACAGATAATGAATTCATCAAAAGTGATAATGAGATGAAAATATTTGAGAAGGAATTTGAAAGGATCATTCCTTCTCTTGCGGATTATGCTATTAAACTAACATATTGTGTTATTATTAACAATGACAATGATCAATACATAATCCAAAGGTACAACAATACAGGAGTTCACAGTGTGGGACAACTTTTTGGTATGTGGGAGATTGACTCTAAAGCTGTGCAAGAAGTTGGAAATAAGATTTCAAAGTTGGATATGACCAAAATACTGTATACAAACCTGAGTCAGAAAAACACATAAAGACAGTACAAATAATTGAAGAAAGCATTATTACATCACGTCACTGTTTATTTTGCAAGAAACTTTGATGCTTTTTTACAAGAGGTAAAACATGTTCAATACATGCATGAAAAGTATATGAACGCATAATTCAAGCTCCATGCCATGGATTATTCAACTGTTCAGCAATAACTTCATATGATAGATTGTTGACTAAGTTATTTACTGATGATCACTCTTATTTTATTTGCACAAATTGCTTTGTAATACATGAAGATCATCTATATATTCAGCCAGGAAAAGAAAAATGATCAGTTTCATGCTTAGAACAAGGGCAACATGATACTGATATTACCTTTGCTTTAAAGTTATTTGGTAAATGGATTGAACAGACCATTACATCAGATAATGAAATTGTAAAAGTTAGTTTACTAAAAGAGCTTGTCAATGTTCTTGGTAATCTTATCATGAATATACCGAGATACAGAATACTGTTGGCACGTCTTCTACCGTTTTCACAGTTCCAAGTCTTTTTTAATCAAAACAGCATTTGCTATCAAAAAAATTGATGTTAATGAAGAAGCACAAGCAACACAATTGAAAATCACTATATGCAAGAACTTTGGAAGAATACTTGCCTACTCTGTATTACAAGCACGATCAGAACTCAAGCAGAAATTACCATTACTCGAAGAACCAGAATCCCTGGATGAATACTACAATGCTATGTCATCGCTTCTTATAAACCTTTTTGTTGATTTGATTTTAGTTCTAGAAGAAAAGAGAAATCAAATATTAAATAGAAAACGAAAGGAGAAACTTACTTCCATTACAATTAGATTGAAAAAAATCAAAGTCTTATCTCTCTTTTTCACTTCTATTTTACTTACCGTTGCCTTTGTCATTGGAAAATATGGTTTACACATGTTCTTTCTTCTCTTTGTCGATGACCAAAAATGATAGGATTCTTGTACTGTTACCATTTTGATGGAGCTTTCAAGATATTTATAAAATTTAAGGAATATTCAAAGGGAAACTTCCAATGTCTTAACGACAATTCAAAGTCTAATAATACTTTA